CAAAGCCGGGTATCTGGAATAAAATATTTCTAATATCCTGCGTGCTCATGTTTAGATGAAAATGTGTTAATTAAGTTATTTTCCTTGGATCGTTGCACCTTGTCCCGACGAGTGCTGATGCATTGCGTCCAAAATCTGCATTTCATTCAGTTCCACGAAGTGAAATACTCAAGTTATAAAAGCAACAAACCGCATTTTCTATTAGTTTACCTAGATGGATGACTTCTAGAGGAGACTAACTAGAAGTGATAATGTTTCGTAGCGAGCGATAGAGCTCGTCATAATATTAGACCTAAGGTTTTCTAAGAAGTGTTCAGAAAACAATCGATCATATAATTATTATACATTCAAAAGATTTTATCAGTATGCACTGATTTAAGGCATTCCTGAGGGCTAAACTGTCCCCTGCTGACTGGAGGACTATAATGCCCGTGTATATGTTGTGGTCAATTTTATCCATAAATTAAATTTTAGTTTTGTTTTGTTACAAACTCATTATCATACATTTCCATAACCAAACACAAAAGAAAATAAAACCACAACATATATACCGAATTGAATTGGATTCCGGTGTCATCTCGTCTGCTACACAGCCGTTTTTAGTGTCGTCACGCAACGCTCCTCCCCACACTTAAAACGGCTGTGTAGCTAGCCTGCGTGGCAGGCGTTCGAAAGGGAAGGGGAAAGGAATTAGCCAAAGCTCCCTTTCCCTTTCCTTTAAAACGCCTGCCACGCAGGCTACTGTGTAGCAGACTAGGTGTCACCGAGACTGCAAGGAAAGAAACGCAAGATGTAGTAGATGGCGCAGGATTGAGAGGACATGTAAAGATCTATAAAACAAACCAGGAGACGAGAGACACGTCATGAAGACTGCGCCTGGAGTATGATGCGGAAAACCCTGTGTAAACAGAGTAGCGAAATGAGCAATTTTTGTCTTAAAAAGGGTCAGGGTTTGAAGATCTTAGCGGCACACCTCTTTGGTCACCCTCTTTTATCCAAACGTACTTCCCTTGAGTGCCCGCAAGAGCCATTATGGCTCTTGGTGCCCGGCAATATCATGAGTAGGCGTCTGCTTAGGTTTGGTGTTGATCGGGCTTAGGGACGGACCATTAGAAAACTTATTGGGCAGGGGGGGGGGAGGGAGGAGGCAAAGTACAAAAAAGATATTCGCGCAAGGGAAAATTAAAGGAAAAAAATTCATGCACGCCAGTTTACCCTAAAAAATATTCATGCTACGGCCTAAAAAAATTCATACAAGGAATTTGATAACAAAACAAAATTCCTGCGGCTCAAAAATCCGCCCCCGCCTCCGCCCCCCACCCCCACAACTTTTCTAATGGTCCGCCCCTCACCCTTAACTAGATACAGTCATTCAAAGACTCCAAAATTTAAGACGACCAGACAGTACCCGTCCCCAGTGGGACGTTTTGCGAGATGTCACTCAGCGACGATGAGCGAGGAGAAACGTCTGCCGTTCGCAGGCCAGCTGCTGTTGCCCCGTCGAAAGAGAAACATACTCACCTGGATAGAAGATATGTCAGAAAAAAGCAAAACTAAAAATAACTTTGCTTTGCGAGTTTTAAGAAACAGAAAATTACCGCTTTGCAACAATATTTCAAACCACCAGTTTACCCTGCCGCGTTTTTCAAGCGTAGCGTATGACGACACCCACAATTTTTGGAATTTCCAATTAGATCAAATTAGTCACGTTACACCAGTATACTGCTACGTTATATTTTGGGGACAGAGCGACTATGATTTGGGCGCGGGGGTACACTGTGAAAATGTCCCAGATAAAAATCGTACATATCTTTTCTCTCTTCAAAATGGTAATTTGCTTGGGTATATTTCTACTCATAGTGGACTATTGGTGGAATTTATGATACCCATAAATAACCAACCAGGAAAAAGACTTCAAAGGACTTAGAAAGTCTACCATTTTTACTTGTAAATATCTGAAATGACCAGCCCCATCCCTTCGAAAGTCAAACGATCATGGAAATTAGGAAACGAGAAAATCCTGGGTACGACATCTGTGTGGCTTTGTCACAGGCAGACCAAGAAAGGAAAAAAAGAAGCGCTTCCGCCTTTGTACATGCTTTGGAAGCTTATTTCAAGTGATAAAATTTACAATGCCGTATATCTTCGTTCGCAGCTCAATGAATCCGAATGGGTTATTTTCCAATCAAACGTTTATTGATTTTGAAAACGTTGTTATTGCAAACGGCGAAGCTCTGGGTACAGTTCTCTCAACGTATCTGGGATCTCAACTGGTCATTGGAAACGCCAGCGGTACCCGGCTGGAAGTCATTTCACAATACACACACGGGCAGTATCACACACATGCACAGAATTATTTCCAAACGCACCGTATTTCCGATTGTCCACCGCATGTAGTGCTTAACAAGCTGGAGGGTTATGGATACAAAGTTGTAGCAGCAAACTCTCAGCGTCCTACAGGTGCTTCTGTGGATCAGTGGAATACTGGGGCGAGCTACACTGTGTGGACACTACACAAACCACTGTGATGAACTACTACATTCGATTGCATACAGCCAATACATTGAACTTTTAAACAAGTTCCACAGTTAAATGCAGGGAATTAAGGTTTAATGGCTAGCAAAAAGTAAGCTAGTGCACATATAATACTTGTAAACTGATATCTTTTGTGACTCTATTTGTCATGAACGAACACTCTTAGCCATAAACAGGAAATGTAGTTCTTGATAATTTTATGATGTTTAACATGAGCTTTCCACAACTGTGTGGTTTATGGTGTATGGTTTATAGGAATATTTTATCAAGTGTTTGTAAATTTAGTAGTCATAATTACCGGTAGTTGTTAAGTATTAGTTGTTTAGTATTTAATTTTATTATTCCTGTCACCAATTTCGTGTACCTTGTGGGACTATGATAGGTGTATGTGCCTAAAACTTCAGTTGTCTTGTGATATACCCCTGAATGTTCCTTGAAAATTACCTTACGTTTTTAACCATCACAGTAAAGACTTCAAAAGTTTTAGGAGCTGAGAATAATAAAAGTCACGACTGTCATGAAAAGAATTTAGAAGTTCAATTGTTCAATGTCTTCAGCTTTTCCCCTGTCATCAGTCCTCTCAGCATCGTCTTCATCCCAAAACTTTTTCCACCATGGAAGTTTAAGTCTACGCATATCTTCATTGTGACATTGCTGTGCTCTAGTTATCACAGGCGCTGATCTTGATGTAAAGGCATTGAGACTGTCTGGAGAAACCTCATGAAGCTTTGGAGCAGCTAAAAAGGAGTTGAATTCAAATATTTATCTTCAGTTTGTAACAAGAGTCTACATATTGATTTAAAAAAATGAAATGAATCATACTTTGAACTGTGGATGAAGATGAGAAAGTGAACAAGATCTTTCCAGTGAATTGAACAACTTATAGACCATTGAAATAGAGTCTGAAAAAATCCCCGCTTGACCGGGAATAGAACACTGATCTTTGTGATGCTCAAGTTTACTAAATGATAGCTTCTGTACAGAACCCCCTTCCCCTCAGGAAAAAATCAGAGAGGGGGTGGGGTGATAAACACAGGCTAACAAAATGTAAGCCTCAAATAAAACTTAATGCAAAGCACATACAAATTAATGATTTTGCTCACCAAGCAGCTGATCTGCATCCACATTCAGTCTGGCCAGCAGTCCTTCTCTCCTTTGCTCAGTCTTTCGTATCTTCATGTTAGACAACATGTGATTGGCAAGTAAGGAAAAAGCCTTTCAAAGAAAAAAAATCAAATTAATATGCAAATGAAGAGATCAACACTACAGTACTTATCGCTCCACTAGCCACAGTCTTATCATACATTTTCTTTGACAGTGTTGAGGCTAACAAGTCAAATAACAGTTGAACCTCCATTAGCCGCCACCTATTTCAAAAGCAGCCACCCTCAGCAGGCCTCTGCTTAAAAGCATGAACCAGTAATCAAAGTTCTGATTGCAGAAATTAAATAAATTATTGTAAGTTAAATCTCTACAAAATGGCCAGGGCTACCTTTTGGCCATCCTTTGAAGAGTTCTCTTTTTGCTGTCACCTCCATTAAGTGGCCATCAAGCACTTGATACACTTAGTTTGACTTTATGACGGAAAATACAGTTTGAGATACAACGTGACAGTTGATTGTGGACCAGTAATGCCACTACTGCCACGTGTTTGTTTCAAATTATAAAAGTGATGATTCTGCTTAAGCCTGGTTCTCATATGTCGCCGATGCACCTGCGACATGGCTGCCATTAGAGCTTGGAATACTGTTCTGATATGAGAACAGAAGTGGCTGGCAACATTGATCATTCCAGTCTTTACTGCCGGCATGCCTGCAAAGTTGACTTGAGTTCAACTTTGCAGGCATGCCGGCGGTAAAGCTCTGCGGTGTCCCAAGTTGTTGGCGGTGCATGTTCTCACTCGTCCGAGAAGTAGCCCAGGCAGTACCAGCGGCTACGTCGCAGGTGCATTGGTGGTACATGAGAACCAGGCTTTAACAAATGAACGTCTATTGAGCAGCCAGTCTTCATTTAGGGGCCACTTGTCAGTACCCTGAGGATGACTGCTTAATGGCGGTTGAATACAGCTTATATAGTAGTACCTTATCATGTAGCTCTTGGAGCTCATCTTGGGTTCTGTGCTTTGGCTACAAACAAGAACAAAAACGAAAATGTAACTCTTCTTATTTCGAGCCTTGAAACTGTTGGCCTAAATGACACAACACTTCACAGACTCTTTAAGGTAAAATCTGTACAGGTAAGTGTGGCCATAAAAGCTACTGAGCAGTAGTTAATTGTGGTGCAGTTGGTGCAGTTTATTATACAAAAAGGTCCTAAAGAACTTTTGAGTCTGTGGATGAAATCCTATTGTCACCATTCAAATGAAGCTACTAAGCAGTACTTTTCTGTGGGACTGCTTATTATGTTGTACAAGGTGGTTCTAACTTTTGAGTCTGGATATTTTTAAAAAGCAAACTGATTTTTAAAAGTGTTCTTTCGTATTACTCTCTCTGATTAACCCATCCAATCCAACAATTTTTAATTGATAGATAATTTTAGTTTTTTGACACTATTAATTATCAATTCTCCACCGTTTACTGACTGGGATTAAACACATACTGGATACTTTTGACGACGGTCAGCAATTGCATTCTGGAGTTCTGCCCTTCTTGAATCAGTCAACCCAGGAACAACAGGGTATGGTGCTTTACTATCTGCCAAGCGTTTCTGATAACGGCGAAACTAAAGAAACATGGAAAATGAAAANCAGGTAAGTGTGGCCATAAAAGCTACTGAGCAGTAGTTAATTGTGGTGCAGTTGGTGCAGTTTATTATACAAAAAGGTCCTAAAGAACTTTTGAGTCTGTGGATGAAATCCTATTGTCACCATTCAAATGAAGCTACTAAGCAGTACTTTTCTGTGGGACTGCTTATTATGTTGTACAAGGTGGTTCTAACTTTTGAGTCTGGATATTTTTAAAAAGCAAACTGATTTTTAAAAGTGTTCTTTCGTATTACTCTCTCTGATTAACCCATCCAATCCAACAATTTTTAATTGATAGATAATTTTAGTTTTTTGACACTATTAATTATCAATTCTCCACCGTTTACTGACTGGGATTAAACACATACTGGATACTTTTGACGACGGTCAGCAATTGCATTCTGGAGTTCTGCCCTTCTTGAATCAGTCAACCCAGGAACAACAGGGTATGGTGCTTTACTATCTGCCAAGCGTTTCTGATAACGGCGAAACTAAAGAAACATGGAAAATGAAAAGCAAAAATTTCAAAAATGTAAGACAAAATGACCAAGGGTTTTTTGTACCACTTACATTTTGCATACTCTTTGCTGTAATGCCCAAGTATTACCATTGCAATTTATAACAGAGAACAAAGACCCCTCTGCCATTTTCTTGTTCAACAAAGAAGTAAAACAAAAATAAATAAAAGATGAACGCTATTTCCTCACAGATGAAACAACTCATACATCAGTTTATTAGCAGTCTTTGGAGTGCTCCGATGTTTTCTTCAGAGGCGCCTGTGTCTCTGACAGGAAAAACATCTTTTTTGTACGTTAACAAGGCTTAAAATTCACCATCACATTTTAATCATCGCAAATGCGAGCTATGTGAGCCATGCAGTCCATTGAAGACTCATTAAAAGATTGAAATACAAAAAAATCAAAAACAGTAATGGAAAACATTAACAGAAAGCTAACTGTTGTAAATAAGTGTTTAACCCTAAACAGCACTTAACCCTAGCCGTAAAATGAGTGCTTAACCCTAATCAGTACAATGAGTGCTTAACCCTAGACAGTAGCTCAACTCCTAATCTGTAAATTTGCAGTTTTTACTTTATTTCTACCGATGGCTCGCGTGGCTTGCATACAGTTTGTAGCTCGCTGGCTCGCAGCTTGTCAAGCCCAGCACTAGACATTCCAGTCCTGGCAGTATGCAGGATGTTTGTCGCATGAACCTAGTTTAGTGGCCTCAGCACACATGAGTCCCATGTGGCTCAGTGGTAGAGCATCCGAACTAGTAAACCAGAGGGTTTAGGTTCGCCTGCTGTTGGGAGTATTTGGATTTTTTTTTCCGAGCTGCCTGTGTCACTGAATCAAAAGACATCTTTCTCATGTAACAGTTACCTGTCGTTGTATTGTAATGGCAGCTCTATCTCGCATAACTTCATTTCTTCTTTTATTGACCCTTTTTCTTGCCACCATTCCACGGAATGCTGCTTGAATCTTACTTGCTGCCTGAACTTGCTGGTCAGCCATGTATAAGTTAACTTCCCTGGCTGGTACACTCTCTAACATCTTCAACTGCTTCTTCATGGATGAGCGAAATTCACTGATTCTCTTCTGTTCTAGCACAAGTTTGTCTTGTTCCTGTTTCTTTTCTTTGGCTCTCCTTTGCTCTTTGTCCAGCTGTCTTTGTCTGAATTTTCTTTGAAGAAGTATGATTCCCCATTCAGCATGTCTGAGGGACCTCCGTTGCATTAAGCCACGGTAAAATGCTTGGATGACAGTAGCTGCTCGGTTTAATCTCTACACAAAGAAACAAACGTGATTATTTTTTATCTCTGGTACATGTTTTTTAGACTAAAAGACATGTTGTATGGTCAGTTGACAAGATCAAAATTCAATTAGATAGCAAGGTCAAATTGACACAAACAAAGAATTCAAACAAAAATATTATTTTGCTTTCTTTCTCATTTCCCTTCAGCCTTGCTATTAACACTTGATGAATTGTATTTACCAAAACGAGCCTATTAGAAACACAGGTGGTAATCCATACATTCAAAACCACAAACTTCAACATTCCCAAGGAGATTTTACTATTCCACTTCAGAACTTGCTATGCTGTGGATCCACTTGTAAGTAGGGGGGGGGGGGAAGCATCCTCCAGCTTAGAGCCTACAACCGGCGACAAAATTGTACTCAAATAGGGTAACTTCTGAGAACAAAAGAGTCCACGCCCTTCTCCTCTCCCCTCCATTCAAAGTTGGGGTGTTTGTTGTTTTCTATAGGTGGCTCGAACAGCGGCACAACATTGCATGGAGGGAATGGGGCAGGAAAAGCTTTATTTTCCGCTTTTGAAGTCAGTAAAACATCAGAAAGCCCCTTTAGGGCAAAGTGACTCAAGTAATTTTGTGGCCAATAGAGTATATGATGTACATGTACTTTGGTCATGTAACTTAATAAACAGCAGTGAGTAGAGGGAGTTGATATTTATACCAGTTGTTCTGCTTGAGCAATGGAGCCAGCCTCTAATAATGCCACCAGCCTCCTGACGTGATTGTCAAATCCCCTAAATTTCCATTTGCTGAGGTAAGCTTTCAAGCCCCTGAAACACACAGTAGACACTGTCAGTAATGTATAACCAAAAATAATACTTAATTTAACTAAGTTTTAAACACTACTTCAACTGCAGGGTACAAAGAAAATAATTTTTACAGCTTGCCATTCAGGCAAGCTGAAGCTAGCAATTCTCCTAGCTCAGACGTCATTTCAACTAGCCCAAAAAACGTCTTGACTAGCAGAATTGATTTCACAGTTCTTCTGTTATTCGAATTCCTCAAAAAACATCACTTGCCCATCGGGCAAGTTAAAAACGGAATTCAATAGCCCAATAGCAAAATTCACTAGCCCCGGGCTATTGGACACTACTTTATTTGCACGCTGAACTGGGAAAAATATCCGAACCAGGCCGCTCCTGAATGGGCTTGAAAAACTTGTTAACATCTAAATGAGCCTTTTTACTGTTCTTGGTATTCTTTATTCTTTAATGAAAATATCAACTTTTTGATCTGTCAGAAGAAGATCGGGTGTAATACTGTAGAATATACAAGGGATTTACTGTATCCTGATTGGCTGTGTATTTTTTATGGCATGGCATAGACAGAGTCAATCAACAACTGACCTGTATCTCTTTGATAACAGTATTTCAACGAGAGGTGGATGAATATCAGTAGCAGTTAAGATGAGATGAATTGCAGCTCTGTTACAAAAAAGAAAAGAAGTAGAGACACTAAGCTTGGTGTTATTACAGATAACTAATTACATCTACAGCCCTTGAAAAATGTAAAAAATAATACAATAAATTATGCTTTAAAATATTCTGATGCAAGGTTTTTGTCTGCTGAAAATTAAAATTACTCAATTTCCTGATGGATTCTGTCTGAGAGATATACTCTGACACTGAAAAGCTACGTTGTAAATTTTCATAAGCAAGTGAGTCGCAGACAATCTGAGGAGCAAACAACGTTTCTCACACACAAGATAAATGATATCTCCACTCAGAATCACCAAATGATGTTTTTTTCACATTGTGATTTCATCATGTCATTTTTAGCATTTTTAAAAGATTTGAAATAAAAAATTATAAGGCTGACAGAAGGAGAAATGTCTATATAGACACAAAACACATGGAAAGTGCTTTGTATGGTACGGTACTTATGCACTCTTTGCTTTTGTATCAGGAATCTCACTTGTTTGCTGGCCTCACTTGTTTTATTTCTCATATGACGTCAACAACTTGTGCATACCATATGCACAAACTTCCCATGAAGTATTCATTATTTATTATAAATTTACCCTACTGTTACATGTACCTTGCAACTGAGGAGTCTTCCGAGGCTGATATCTTAAAAACAATTTCATCCAAAATACTGTAAAGAACGCTTGGCTGCAACTTTTTCATAACATTTCTGATGGAACAAACAAGTCACAAACAAGTCATTTATTTTAGAAAACTTGGCCCTAAAACAACACTAGAGGCTGGTTATTTAAACAGAATTTAGCCAAAGTTTTAACAAAATCATATTCTAATCCATTTTCACTTTGCTTAACACTTCAAGATAGCACATGATAGAATGGACTAGAAAGGTATTTTTATTTACTAAGGAAGATATCTGGAGGTCCAAATATTTGCTAAACCAGGGCCTAAGTTAGACTTTGTTTAAATAACTGACCCTATACCTGTCAGACTACATTAGTACTGTTACTAAAAATGCCTCTGTACACTCCATAACATCTGTAGTTCCCCGGTGGATGACTGTAACCCTTCATACGCTGTCTTGTGAGTATGATATAAAAAGGGAATGTAAACATATTTTCACCTGTTTGATTTAAAGAGATTTTCCAGGATCAACAGAATAAATAAAGATGCTTCAAGGTCTTCGGTCATGAGAATGTGTAAAAAACGTTTGGAATGCAAAACTGAAAAAAAAATGAAATTTTATTAAAATGATTATCAACTACTAATACTGCTATTTCTGTTAAGAACATGAGATCTAATTAACACTAGAAAAAAAATAACCCAGACGTTTATTTTGTAAAAATATTTTCCCAATACAAATTAAAACAAGTAAAAGCTGGTAGAAAAAGAAAAAGTATGTTAATTTCAGCAAAATCGAGAACTGAAGTCAAAATCAATTGAGATCGAGTATTCACCTGTTAACAAGTTGCCAGAGCTACCATGATC